AAAGCTAACCCGCATTGAGATTGCATGCGTTGATGTCTTTAACATGTTTAAAGCTGGTTCTGAACCGTTGAATGTTTATGATTTGAGCACAAAAGCGTCTTTCTTGATTTTTGGCAGATATACGCAATTCGAAGATTGTCTGGCCGCTAATGCTCTGTGAAAACCAGTTTGTGGGCAGAACCGCAACATTGACACCCAACATCTTGCCTCAACATTCTTGTCCGGTCAGTGCGGAAACCTTGCAGTTTTAAACAGCCATACTTGTTCTCTAGATAACTTTCTTTAGACTAATTGCAAAAGATCTGTTTTTTTTCAACTTTTCTTTGCAATCTTCCAAAGCTTGTGTGCAGCGTGCGTGCTGCAACATGGCCCATGTAACATGATTATTACAAATGTACAGCGTTGCCCAAGGGCACAGTGAATTGAACAACTTTGGTCTTGCGGAACAACTACATTGCGCATGTGTAGTGGTTGGAAGCTTTGTCCAATCTTTTATGTTAGATTGCCCAGTAAACAAGCTTTTGTTGGTTGGATGTTTCCGCACAAAACGGCTTTTTTGAGAAACACACCATGTGCTTGTCAGAAAAAGATACTGGGGAGATCCATTGGCGAAGAAGCCAGAATTGCTTTTGTTTCGTGGGCCCAGAAACGGGGTCGTCTGCAGCATCATTCTTGGGCTCATCTTGCTTCTATATCCACTAGAGATCAGTGTCAGTTTGAATACCGGCTTAGAATTCTCTGTAGCAAAGAAGGAGAAACGTGGTTATCAAGTCACATCAACGTGTGGTTTTGCCTTATCTGAGTCCTGACCGGGTTCCACCGGGTCCGTCCAAGTCGTCACCGAATCCCGTTTATTTGCTCGCCGGGTCTTATCCGCGTGTCACCGGGTCCCATGTTTCCCCACACAAGAAGTTTCATCTGGTTGTTACGTGTTCCATACTTTGTTGCCAGATCGACCAAGTTCCACCGGGTCCATCCGGGTCCCACCTGGGTCCACCTGGTCCATTTTTCCAAAGGCCGGGTCCCACACTCCGTTTAGGTTTTAAAAGTTTTAAATGAACGGGGAGGCGGACCCATGCACGGTTTTTGTGCTGGAGCCTTTGGCATTGTAGCATATCCCAAACGGTGTCAACACTTCTTCAGTGAAAGCATGCATGCATGTTCTCGCGAAGCTTGCACTGCTTCAGCGGTTGAGGCACTCTCGTTTGCTGTGTGCTTTCCGAAGGTGGAGAAACGAGATAGAGAAGATTAGCATGGCTCCTGTGCAAGAATGACACGCGCAAGCCGAGAAATCTACCAACGTGAAGCACAAGATAGCAGGGACAGCTGCAAGCTGCCCTGGAGCTTGGTGTTTTTTTGTGTTCTGTTTCTCTTGTCGTGGCCGCGTGCGTGCGTAGCAAAAGAATTGGGCAGGGTGCGCAGTGGGTGATCAATGCGCTTTTTTTCTTTTGGCGTTGAACAGGCCTTTGGCTGGATAGCCTCCATCGGCTCAGAAATGTGCCCGCCCATTAAGAAAACTGGAATCCGTTGGTCAGGCAGTTTCCTACCAGAGGCCGTATCTCTCAAAAGGGAAAGAGGCTGTTTACCCCGCACCACAGCCCGTGGTTGCGAAAAGAGGCGCACTTACGTTGAGCCCCGTAGGTGCCCGTAGGTGGAACCGGCCGTTTTTGGCTTTGCAAATATTCGCAATAAGAACAATTGCACATGATGTGTTCGCAACAGAGAACAAGTTTGGCATCATTGTTCCAGTGCCTACTGAACACAACCTGTCACTTGTCTAACCTCATTCTGTCATCTTTCCTCGGAGCTTTCTTCTGGGTCACAGAAACAATGCAAGCAATGCATTTCTCTGGAGGTAAATGATCCGAGATTTCTGAGTTTCACCCAAAGTGTTTGTTCAAGTTTGGCGGACACTTGGAAAAACAGTTTCATTCAATCCCGGAGCTTAGCAACCTCAAGGAGGCAGAAGACTCTTGGAGTTTCTTGTTACCGGACCAGCGCCACCCCGAAAGCGAAAACCTAAAGCAACATGAAGCTCGGCGCAATCTACTTGCCAGTTCCCCAAGGTTGATGGTTGCACCATCTCTTGTCTGAATCACTGTTGGCCTGACGCAGATTCGAGAAACACACCATCGACAAACTTGCAGATGTTCTTGCTTTTACTTTGGAATGGACTGGCCGAGCATTTGAAGCCTTGGGTGGGAAGGAATTACGACGTCAAGTCTGCATGCAAGCAGCATGGCATTCATCCAGATAATTAAGATCTTTGCAGGTCTTCTAGGGTTTCCTACGCACTGGAGGATCGGCATTGTCCTAGCACAAGAAGCGATCTTCTTGATTCTTATTTTGCTTCCGTTAGGAACTTACAGGGGCAAGCACAAGAACAAATGGGTTCGCCAGCTGCTCGGAGTCCAAACAACCGTGCTCTTTCGGTCTGATCTTTGCACGCTCGTGTCATTTGTTCAGCGGGTTGCCCTTGAAATAGAATCCACACATGTGCTTTTAAGGCGACCAAAAAAGACCGTGTTAAGCTGATTTTTGGCTTTGCTTGAGTTGCTTCCCTCCATTCTTTGCTGCTCTGTTTGGACTTGGCTGGATGTGGGCAGACCCAAGATCACCGGCAACACCACCCTGTCAGCCGGTTTGTTTCCTTTATTCTGTTTCCATAAAGCGAATTCGTGTTTTCGTGTTGTTGTGTGTTGGAAGAGACATTGATTTATTTGTGAGTTTTGTTCAATGCTGTTGTTTTTGTTTTCTTCGTTTCTTTCACCCACCAAAACAGTACGTTTGGTTTTCTCCTTCTGGGCTTGCTCCTTGTTTTTTGTCGGAGAAGATGCATTTTCATTTTCTTATTGTTTTCATTTTAGCACCCATTGAAGCGAATCCGTTTGCTTGCTCCTTGTTTTACTGTCTGTCTGTCGGAGAAGTTGCTTCATTTCTAATTCATTTGTTTCTCGCTTTCTTCCTCCGAAATCGAATTCGTCTGGCTTTCTCCTTCTTGTATGTTGGAGAAAATGAAACGACGTTTTTTATTTCTTCGCTTTGGAAAGGAACTTGTTTCATTTTGTTGCTTTTCACGCCCAAGGCGAGTTCGTTTGGCTTTCTCCTTGTTGTTTGTCGGAGAAGGCACACCAGAATCTGGCTTGAACCGGGGTTTGAACTTGAGTTCCTGTGGACACAGCTTGGCAACGAAGAGTTTTGACGGCTGCTGCTGTGGGAAACTTCTGCGGAAAAATTATTATCGGGTTCCGACGTTGATGTTCTCTCCCCCTCCCCGCGGTTGAACCTGGGTTCGAAACACCTCCCGTCATAGCTGTTGCTTCAAAGTACTGCATCTTGCCACGCCGTGATCGCCGCCTGCTCCAATCAAGCTAGCGTGCCTTGCTACTTGTCGCCGACGTTTTTCCGTCTCAAGGAGTCAGTTGACTTTGTCTGCACTCGACAGGTCAAACTTCCTTCGAGAAGCCCACCCAAGCCCTCTTCGTCGAATTTGGAAGGATCATGCCCCTTGAACAGTACAGCGGGAAGTGAGCGGAGTGGCGCACTATGGCCCACTATGCCACTGTGAAGCCTTGCTACCCATTCAGGTGCCTGCTGCAGCCACTTTTGTGCAGTTGGTCGGAGTTGAATTGAACCCACGAACTTGGTTCCGCGGTGCAGCGGCTTCTGGATCATTTTCACTCAGGCGTGGTTGCATTGCCTCCCAACAAACCAGCATTCGCATCCGATTTGTTCACTCATGCGGGCGCCTTCGTGGTAAGGTGCGCTTCCTTCTGCCACGAACGGAGCACTTCTGTCCTTCCCGACTTGCTGATCCAACCACCGCAAACACTGTCTAATGTGTCCCGCACCCGGTATCTGGTGTGTGCTGAGGAGTTCAATGTGCGTAAAGCTCTGACTTGGGATATTGGGCTGTATTTCCCTAAACACTATTTCCGTCCTACAGCTACATCGGGCTGATGGGCCGACGGGAACGGGTCATGCGTACCAGGCTATGGGCGCTAACGCACGAGGAAGCCGATCACAATGAGAGATTTTGGATTGGTCGACGGCATGTCACTTGCAACAGTTGACAGTTAACGGGCAGCTTTTTGGAGCAAGGAGGCTTAGGGAAGACTTCCATTCCTACACGGCGTGCCCCAAGTACAAGAAGTTAAGCCGCACGGAGTGTATGCTTGTACGCCCGACTTTCGCTTGTGTGCGAAACATTCTGTCGATTGGTAGAGTTGTGGCATTGCTTTTTTGCCCCTTGGTGCTCCGCAGGTTGGCATCTCAGCGCACCAGTGTCGGACAGTTGTGTGCGATGCATCATATGCTGCTGCTGCTGAAGGGTGCCCACTCATGCCTTAATCTGGTGATACATTTCGACGCCACGAGATTTCTGACTGAGTGGAAACATGATTGGCGGAGCTGTCCCAATGACGCGGCTTGAAAGTACTGTGAGTGTGTGGCAGTCACCGGATGTGCTGTCTTTACTCTTTGCTCGAGCTTAGCTGCAAGTTCGAGAACAGTCGGCACACATGCAGCAGATATTCATGCAGCTTTTGTCAAAGTTCGTCGAAAGCGGGAATCGCCATGCTGAATCTTCGTTATTCTTGCTACCGTGTTTTGCAACACTAAAATTACATGACATTTCTGTTCGTAAACTTGTTGGCATAGCTGTCTGCTGAGGATTTTTACCACGCAGCTCTGTTGTCCCTGTTTTTTCCCGAAAGGCTAGTGGCCCATGGCCCATGGCCTTGACCTCTCCTGTTTCCAATGCCAGCCAGGCCGGGTGCATGAAACTGGCTCTCACGCGTCGTTGCGAGAGATGTCGCAGCCAGGCACTTCGTCGACTGTTTTTGGTGACATCGCCTGGCTTAGAACGTAGCAGCTCGCCTGCATTGATGTCATTGTCAACTTTGAGCTTCTCTGCGTGTTGATCCTGTTTCTGCGTTGTTGCACCCCAAGGCTTGGAGCGCGAGTTGCAAGTGCTTGGCGTACCTGGACGCTTCGAGACAATGGCAGGAGGCCGTTCGCTGTTGGCTTCTGCGTCGGTGCTTTCCGAGAGACGGCACGGAGCAGGACTTGCTGTCCATGGCACGACAGAAACGCTTTGGCGTGCAGTGCTGCAAAGTCGAGTGGCCGAATCTGTGTTGGTGCATGTCGGGGAACCCTTCCATGCACCAGATGTGCCCTTGACTTGGCGCAAACCATCGCAGGCTTTGTTTGCATCTCAGGGTCGACATGTTTCGTGTTTCTCGCTGAGGCGGTCCTTGGAGAAGGGGCTTCGAAGACTGCCTTGGGACCAGTATCTCGCTCTCGGCAAGGACCGGTAGGATGCCAAGGGCTGTGAAGGATTACGCTCCGTCGTGAAATGGCCAAACGCAGCCAAGGTGTGCCGGGTTAGTTTTCTTTGATAAAGATCTCCGAAGGATGCCAGTGGCCCTTCAGCTTTGATTGAGACGGAAGAGGTCCTGAGCCCCTTGCTGGGGTGACGCTCGGTTGCTTATCGCGTGAGGGTCGCGGCAAGGCGGGCGTCAGAGACCTTGACTGCTCCTTTGCTCACGAGGTCGAGCGGGTGCTCCGGTCATCAAGGTCTCCTCAGACGCTCGACGGGAAGTCACGCGATGTTACATGACCGGGGATCGTACCGAGCCTTTTCAAACGTGAGGAGAAATCACGGCTCTACCACACTCGTCTGGTTCAAGATCGCGTCGCCGAGTCCATCCTTACGGCCTTGGGCTCTTCAGCGACCCTGCTCGAATTTTGTGTCAGGCGGTCTAGCCTGCACAGCGACCAGGTGCAGTAGCTCAGTAGCAGAAGGAACAGCAGGAATGGCAGAAGGAACAGGGCTCGAGAGGAATGAGAAGATGTGCAGTTGGCGCCCCTCATCGTCAATTTTGATGTCAGGCTTGCTCCGAAGCTCCAGCTCCCAGCGTGCCGCCAGAGGTGAGAGTCCGGCTGCGGCACGACGAGTGCCAGGCCCCAGAGTTTTGCGGAGGGTCGCAGATCTCGAGCATCTTCTCCAATCCAAAGTTGTTTTGAAATGAGACCGTCATCGCGCACCTTAGCAGGTGAGCATGGCAGCCTCCGGACTTCTGCACAAGCGAGGGCACCGCAAGGCCCGCGCCATCCGCCAGTCAAGTCCTCGTTTCAGAGTTCTAGAGATTCGCGTCTCGGGCATGGGGCATGGAAGAGATGGTTGCTGTGTTCGATGTTCGTGAGTTTGCGATTTGTTGGCATGGAACGACGGTGTAGGTATCCATGTGCTTGTTGCAACGGCATGATCATTTTGGTTTCTTTTCAATGTTCTGCCACTAGCCTGCCACTGTTGTGCTGATTATTGAGCGCAGTAGTCCGAACAGAAGTCATAGCAGGCAGTTGGGGATGCCTCGCTGCGGGAGACCTTGGCAGCTGCCTGTGTCGCGTGGTGGAAAAATGGAGCCAGTATATCATCTGGGGAGCACGGGCGCGGTCGTTTAATACAGCATCGAGTATCACTTGGGTGTGCCGCTTCCTGAGACCAACGAAGGTTAGATCGTAGTACTGTTCGACGGGTTTTGTTGGAAGGTCCAGGCGACACCGCTGCAAAGACGCTTGAGCGCTGCTCTCCACAACGACGAGGAGTTGGTCCTTTGGGATCCGTTCTGCGGTTCCGGAGCTCGCTGTCGGCATTTGCTGCTGCCTTGGTTTCATGCACGAGTAGGCAACTTATTTCGTACGGACTGTAAGACGATTACTTTTTTTCCCTTCTTATTCTTGGTGAGTATCATGAATACGATTATTGTTGCCCTCCGATATTGTCGTTTGTACTGTTGTATTCTATTGCTGTCACTATTTTGGTGAGCTCCTGCCAAGGCCATCTTGGTGGAAGCCCTGGGCCTGGTCTTGGATCAGCTGTCTGGGAACCACTTGAAGTACTACCCCTTCAAAGCCTTCCCTTCACATTCCTCGCAGGCCTTCAATTGTGATAACAAAGACGACTTCTTGTCGCAGTGTTGCTTGTCGGAGGCGTTTGACGACTTTGCCTCCTCACTGCAAGTGCAGCCGCACCCAGCAGCTTCAAAGCTAACGCCACTTGCTGCAATTGATGGTTGGGGAATGCAACTGTCAGCAGATGCTTCGTCCGCTGCTGGTCGTTGCTCTATGCCTGATTTGCAACAAAATGGAAGCATGCACAGAGTCAACGGGTACCACCACTAAATGCCGAAGTCGAGGTTGCTGGGCAGCGACAATTCGGAGGAGATTCAAGTTGAAGGTGTGTTGTTAAGATCCTGCAAATGCAGTCTCATACCCTATGTGCTGAAAACCTCAAAACTCTTGTGCTCGCGATCTGTCCGAGATGAAACCAGATCAGCTGCTCAAAAAAGTGTGTGTGCGTGTCTGCTGCCATCAGCAGTGGCCACTTGGACGAGGTGAATGCCCCCATCGAACATGGAGCATCGCCTTGGTTAACAGTCCCGCAGAAGCCACAATACTCCCCGCGATCGGCTAACCTCGCTGAATCGGAACAGAACGCCCGACCTTGTCCAACACCTCAGGCTGGTAGGCGGGAAGTTGGGTACGGGGAGTTCTCAACACCAGGCCTCCCATCAGCAGGCCTCAGCAAAAAAGGGTGTAGTTTAAGGCGTTCCAAACGTGGTTTTCCCCGATCGGAAAAATCGATCAACAAGTAATCTGAAACCCTGAATCCTAACCTTAGGCCGTAAAGCTGAGTTGAAACCGAGTGCGCAGGAGCAAATTGGGCGTGCACGAGCCAACTTGCGACGCTCGTTGCGACGCGTGCATCTGCCGGGGAATGAGCCAGCCAAGGCATGATGAAGTCGTCAGCATGATCGTCATTATAGTTATAGATTGTGACATAGCCATTAATTATTGTGATAGTTGTCGTCGTGGTACGTACGTACGTAGCTAGCAATAGCAACAGTCGTCATCGTAGTAACAGTCTCGGTAGTAGTAGCGGCAGTAGGAGGCGGAGCAGGAGCAGCTCAATCATCGGTAACATGGGAGCAGCATGAGGAGGAGGGAGTGGTAAACAGTATCATAGTATCATCAGAGAGGGTGACTCCACATCCCTCTCGCCTTCGCCGGAAGCAGTTTGCGCGTTCCGTCGGAGAGGCTGGCAAGGCGGACCTCGAGAGCCTCGCGGAGCGCGTTCCGTGCAAAGTGCAACTCGTGCAGGCCAAGAGCAGCGGCCTTGGGCGGTTGTTCAGGGTTTTCGGGGTTTAAGATTGTTTGAGGGTTCAAGGCATTCAAGGCCCAGGAAGCAAGCCAGGTTCAAGCTGGGGATTGGATCTGATACTTGGGACGCTTGGGAAACTCGGGAGGTTGGCGCTTGGTTCTCGTTGCCCAGTAAGAGTAAAGAAGAGGTCCACGGCGCCAGGAGATGCGTCCCAGCTGCTTCTTGCAAACCAGCGGTACTCTTTATGAAGAGAAGAGCTTGATGTGGCTTTCTGTTTCTGACGCAGGGCTCGATTTCGAAGGTGGTGCAAATGCTGCAAGGCCTGGGCATGCGAGCCGGAAGCTTCGAAGGTGGCAGCTCATCGTTGAGTCTTGACGAGGTCGGCCTACTTTGCGGCTCGGCCTCCGACGTGTCAGAAGCATGTCCTGCGCGTTTGCGCGTAGCTCGGCCCACGCCGGTTCAAGGATTGTGACCAATGTGCCCTTCGGCATCGCATCAGGTGGCAAGCAGGAGAGCCAATATTCTGAAGATCTGTCTGCAGAGTCTTGAAAGATTGGCCGGCCAGGACCCGGTTTCTGGACTTCCAGAGGCAGCAGAGACATACAGCAGGCTTGACCACCGTCGACGTGAACTCGTGACATAAAAGTGGCTCGAAGGCTCGGCCGCCTGCTGAGACAGCAGCGAGCCGAGTGGCGAGGCGTCTATTGCGCAAGCCTCGACTTCTGCCTCGATCATGTCGTTACAAGGTATGTGCATGGCCTGCCCGGCTGAAGACTGCTGTGCCTGTGTGTACGCATGTGTGGAGTCGTCACGAGGCCTCGTTGCTTTCGCGGAGAGCTTCCGCAACCACACAGGCCTCGCACCCGCTTCGCGAGTCGTCGGACATTCATTCTCAGAAAATTCAGCAGTCAGCAACAGAGACCAACCTGAAGCCGTGTTGAATCATTCGAAACTCTGGGCGGATAGCACACGTTGGAGTGGTTCGGCAAAGCTCTGGCTGCAGAACGGTCGGGTGTAAACCGGGTATCTGATAGGATACTGCACCGACACCCACGAACTGTCAACTGTTTTGACATGGCTTGAGTGAGAAGTGCTATGCTTCAGAGCAATCATTGTCAAGAGGAAAGGGGTGGCAGCGAATCCTGGGCCCCATAACCATGCACCAATCAGGAACGACCTCGAGTGGGGGGCCTTTCGCGGAAGCCAAAAACCCAAGCCAATTACTGCAAAGCCAGCCTGCATCAAGCCCGGCATCAAGATCCGGTCCTGGACCCGAGCCCCTCTGCCCCCAATCGAGTCTTCTGGCTGACATTGGAATCGGAGGTCTGGAGTGGAGCAGCGAGCTCCGCTTCTTGAACGGCAGCCGCTGGGTCGACCTGCTGCAGTGGTCTGGTACCGAACGGAGAGTGCGGCGGTAAAAGGCTTCTGGGGCTATCCACGCAACTCATCGCCGGCAAGGGTCGCTGCCGATACGAAGGATGGATTTTGCAGCTGTTTCTGCTTCTCTCCGTTCCGCATGTACCTTTGCATGCACTGTGAATGCTGAGACAGTGGGGTAGCTCCAGATTCCACGGTTCACTCGCTCACGTAATAGTATTTCTGCCATCTGTTTCAAGTGGTACACACATATTACAGTATATCAAATTACTTCCATTCCTGAGCGGTAGTTGCCACAAGATGGCGACGATAACCACTGCCTGGACGCCAGGACGCCTCTCTGTTTGTACATTCTGCCCTTGGTGCCCGTTGCATCTGACCGCAGGTCGTGTGGCTCGACGCAGATGTTTCCAAACAGCTTGCCAACGAGTGCTTCCCTCTGACATAGAACACAGGCATGCGAATGCAAGCACGCCTGCTGATGCATGCTCTGATTGAGGTGGGGCTGTTGGTGGGCACCATTGTAGTGATCCTGGGGCACGTCTCCGCCTTTGCTGCTACGCAACAGGCGGCTTCTTTCGTTGCTTGTTCAAGAGGCTCTTGCTCTGGCATTGCAGGCATCCCGACCTGCGCAGCAGCAGGCCGAGAGCCAGCGCCTGGCTGCGAGAGGGGCTCTGCTGGAGGCGGAAAGCAGCGCACAGCGCATATGCGCATACAAGCGCACAGAGCCAGTAGCCACCTGCCCGGCCTTGCTGCTCGGCTTACATGGGAAGGCCATCAAGTCTCTGGACCGTGGTTTCGCGGCCTCAAAAGAAAACAGGCGCATGGAGGGTGTAACCTGTGGTGAATGTGGTTTCGTGTGGAACGTGTGTGCAGGTCAGATGTTTCCGGCCGAATAGCCGATCTGGCAGTCGTCTCGATCTTGCGTGGGAGCGCAGTCGTTCTTGAGGGCAAAGCTTTTCCGGCTGAGGTTCGGTGGAATCCAACCGCAGACCCGACCTCTAAACTTGGCCTGATTCCCGGGTGCTCACCACTTGCCCACCTGATTGCCGTGAGCTCTGCCGTTTTCTGCGGGTTGATGCATCCGTCCGCTTTGGGCTCAAGCCTAAATATCCTAGCCTAGGTGCTGCGATCAGATCCTTGGCTGTGATGAAGAGACAAGTCTTACGTCTTACTCTGTGCACAGTTGTCGTTTTCCGGGTGACTGCCTTGCAACTGCGCAACCCACTCGCCCGCTTCGAGTCCAGCGGGTCTGACAGATCATGTGGAACATTGCCAAGGCTCTGATTGAAGCCCCATTGAAGTTCACAAGCGCTTTAACAGTGCGCTGCTTGTCTGAAAATGACACATAGGCACGCGCGATTCAATGTTGCCGACAGAGTGCTGTGATCTTTCCAGACCACAGCTCAGGTGGGAAAACCTCTTCCCGCCTTATTTCCTTCCGGTCAAGCTTCAGGAAGGAAACTTGGACTGACCAGATGCGAGTTAGTGTAAGGAAAGGAACAGGGGCCTTGGTTTCGGATCTTTTCGATTTCTCGCATCGAGCTCTTGGTCAGTCAAAGGAGCGACATAGGAATTGAATGGTTTGGTGTCTCATCGGTCTGTCCTGCAGCACTGCAGCTCCCAGTCTAGTTGCCTCACCGAGGAAACCTCTGCCACCAAGAAAAATGGCCATTGTGGAAGCGTTGTCATTGATGGCATCCGCTGCCCAAGAGGCCACAGATGCTTCCATTTGAGCTGTCTGTCCTCAGCCTCCTCCCACTATCCTGCCAGGCCTTGTCCCTTGTATGGATGGAGCTTGCTATGTTCGGGGTTGCTGCCCTGGTTTACGTGGCGTAGCCCCGCTGCAATTTCAGCTGGCAGGGGAGCATGGATCCTTTAGAGATACATGGAGCTGGACAGCTAGAGTTTTCGACAAGCCAAGGTGCATGGGTTTGCCTCAGAGAGGGTCGGCTGCCCTGCAAATCGCTGCAGCAAAATCGTCGATAAGTTGTCGGTTTGTGTGCAGGACCAAGACGAAGGGAAAGTTGGCAAACGCGTATGAGGCCGACACATTCAAGTGGGGCCAGAAATCGAAAGAGAAAAGAGCCGCTGTGCCCTTCGCGTCGCTGGAGGACGCACCGCTCCGGGAAGCCAAGGAGTCCTGGAAGCACTGGGAGCAGGCGCGCCGAAGACCGTCCCAGCATCGTCTCGACAATGCCGCTAGCGGCATGGATATGCGCCGGGAGGTGAAGCGAGGCCGCGCCGAGTTGACCGGCAGCTTCGGCTCGGGCCTCTACAAGGCACCGCCGAGGAGCCGGGGCTTCCGCTCTCTGCGTCCTCTCTCTGCAGGCGCTGACGGCCATGCGCCAGCTCCGGAAGTCCGGCTCGGAGGCACAGCGACAGGCGGACTCTCGGAACTGCGTGGACTTCCTTTGGTTTTCGAGAGGTGGAAGAAGAGCTGCGTGCGGCTCTGAAAGGGCCGGCGAGTGCGAAGCTCCTCTCGGAGATGGAGGTTGGAGATCTTTGAACAATGTTGGAGCTCGGCGTCGTTCGGTGCACTGAAGCAGCTGTGGGACTTTGAGGCGTTGCCTGCTGCACTCCTCCGTGATGATGAACATGTCTCAGATTGTGCGTTGGGTGAAGCATCGAACATATAGGGACATAGGGCTGGCGGTACGAACGAGGATCTCGTTGGGAGCCTACTGAGGCCATCGATCTTCTTCCACCAGTTCTGCAAGTTCTTCAGGTGCTCGTGAGAGTGGAAACTGAAGCAACCTATCGCCAGACTAGGCAAGACCGTTGAACAGGATTGGGAAAAGCGAGCCGAGACGTCGACCTACGCGGCATTCCCAGTATGCCCATAGCGGACTTCTTCCGGCCTCAAGTTTGCCGGCGGGACTTGCTGGTTTCAGGCCGCGCTGATGGCTGCCCAGCTGCGCCGTCGCGATTTTGCTGGTGCCCCACGCAACAGACCACCTCAGCTGTGGACACGGAGCCTTCTGCCGCGCAGACCTTCTGCGTTACAGGTGTGGGCGTCACCGCCTCAAAGTTGCCGGAAGACGCCTTGACGTCCCAGCCTGAGTAGCTGAGTAGCCGGCGTGCAGCCTCCTTGCAAGTTCCACGGCAGCATCGTCGACCCGAGGCCCAAGATGCGTGCCATTTTGGCCGCTGCAGTGGCTGATCTGGACTAACCGATTTAACCATCGTCCGAGGGGGGGCCTGGGCCAGCGCAGACTCATCCCCCATGAAGTGAAGTGAAGAGAGAGAAATAGAGAGAGAGAGAGAGAGAGAGAGTGGATGTTTGCAGAACTTCGCAGTAAAGAGGAGAAAACATCGCAGTGCCCCGAGGCTGTGCAACGTGGGAAGCTTGAGGAGGCCCTGAGGCAGCTGGAGCAGCTGCCGGACGCGGACTCGGCGGATGCGGGCCCCCGCTTCCTCACCCCAAATACGGCGGGACAGGCCTGAGGGGCCCTTTTCAGCCTCTGCTTGGATGTAAGTTAGTAAGCTATAAGCTTCAAGTGCTTTGAGTGCTTCGGGGCGGGGGCTTTCCTCCTCATCGCTCATGACGACATGTCAATGTGCCATACAACCAGACCAGACAACTTGCCAGAGAGGGGCGCTTGCAGCAGGGGAACGTACTGGCTTATCCGCAGCCGGGCACCCCCGATGTGGCAGATTCTGCCGATTCCCCGCTTTCCGCAGATCCTCTGCCTGGCCAACAAAGAGCAGCGCGGTGCGGAAGTGCAAGCGCAGCTAAAGCGGATCGGCGTGCAGCCGCTGCAGGAGAAGCCAGGATTAGTCTTGAGCAAGGCGAAAGGTGGATGCTTTTGGCAGGGATAGCTCGGCTTAGCCGGCGGGCTTGTTGATGTCACCCGCTCAGCCCTCGGTGTTGCAGGACAGCAAGGACAGCAATGCGGAAATGCAGCGTGCCGTTACAACTATGAAGGCTTACGTGAAGAACAAGGACCCAGTAGTGGGATGACACGCTAATTGAGCTTTTGTTGCTGTGCTGTGCTGCTTGTTCGCAACTGAACGGTCGTGACAGGACCTGCCCAACGTGACAGCTGTTTTCAATCGCCTGAAGAAGAACGGTGTTGTGATGCGGTCCCAGATTTACAATTGCCACCTGGCAGTAGCAATGCCTTGCATTCACCGGCCGGAACTGTTGAATTTATCCTATTATTTTCTAGTCTAAGGCTACCTCGATGCCTGCGTCCAGTGCAGTGACATTGAAGCAGCCTTGTCACTCTTTGAGGAGCCTCTATTGAAGCGCCTTGTGCACTGTGATGATGAATATTTTTGTTGTGCGTTGTTGAAATTGGATCGAAGGAGATGAAGCAGCTCGGCTTCGTGGATGTTGTCGGCAACTCAGAGGGAGGTGAAGCTACGAAGCATCCTTCCACTTCTGCAAGTGGAGTGCGGCGGGAGGTCAGCTACAACACGGTTCTCAAGGTTGCGGTCGTAGCGTGCTGCGAAGCTTTGAATACTCGTAGCTCGGAAGCTGTGCGAAGCAGGGAAAAGCCCCACACCTGCCTCCTTAAAAACCGTAATGCAAACAAACAGCTTGAGAGACACTTTGTCTCCGGAGGGCTTCTTGGCCTCCGGCCGCTTGGGTGAGGCACGGAGTCTCGTACAGGAGAGGGTAGCGAAAAGAGGGGGCACATCGGAGTCAGAGGGCAGATGAGGGCAGCATGGAGCTGGTGAGGAGATGACTTCACGCGGGCTGGCAGCCAACAAGGCACCCGAGTGTGCTCTCGAAGTCACACACATGCAGAGTTGTAGTTGTAGAGGTCACCTACAACGAGCTCCTGAATGCGAAAGTCGCTGCGCGAGATCGCGCGGGTATGTGGAGCATTGTGGACCAGATGCTCCAAGCCGGCCTCAAGGCAGGCTCCTGAGCGAGGCAACACGGCCTCGGGATTTGCATGCAAACACGGAGCTACTTGCGTCTCAATTCTTACCCCAGGCGAACCTGATCACCTGCTCGATTCTCTTGAAGTCCTTGACGCAGCATTCCGCTGAGACAGACTTGGTGCCTCGGTTGCAAAGCAGGCGGCACGGACAGGCTTTCGGAGGTGGCAGGCTCCCTCTCTGCCTTGAGGCTCGGGTTCTGAGCCTGATTGACAGCGTGGAGGAGCCTGGTTTCTGCCTGTGAGCTTGGGTCCGATGTTGGCTGCACAGGAGCCCATCGATGAAGTTCTCTTTTCGTCGATCATCGAAGCCTGCATCCGAATCAAGAGGTTGGACAGCCTCTCCGACTTCATTGGCCGATACAAGGTGAAGGGCCTTTTTAAGAGTCTCAGACGTCCATTCAGCAGCATCCTTTTTGTACGAATCCGTGGAAATAGTCCCTAGGGTAGTAATCAATCCAGTGCTCCAGCGGTGGGGTTTGTGTTCCTGCGCTGCGTCTAGGAATATCTCTGCTCCGATCTACGGGGCCATGATCAAAGCCTTTGGCGAGGCCGGTCACCTCCATCAGGTCCGTGAACTCTGGGCGCAGCTGCGGCTCGGCTTCAGATTAGAATGGAGAAACCCTGTGGCAACATGTGATAACGAGGCAGAGCCACAATGTGAAGCCGACGGCTATCACTATCGGCTGCGTGGTGGAGGCTTTGGTGATTAACAAGCAGGGAGAGGAGGCCTGGCAACTCGTCCAGGACCACTGCTCTTCGAGCAGTTGCATGCAAGGCCGGATTTTAGGGTAACAGCTGGACATCTTCAGCGCGCCCTGGTGTGAAGGACCAACTGCAGTATGATGACCGCCCCTTGCACGAATGGTCCTGAGTCTCAGCCTGAGAGGTTGCACCAGGCCGCAATTGAACAAAGGCAAAAGCATGGTCAACACCGTGGTATACTCGACCGTGCTGAAGGGCTTTGCGGTTTCCAAGCGGATTGACAAAGTGCTTGCTGTGTACAAGGCATCATTTTGTCAGGGATTCCCTGGCTGTGTAGCTTATCATAGCTTGCAATGTGGGAGGGGTGACCTTGGCAGGAAATGCGAAACAACAACATTGCCTGCAACACCATCACCTACAACACCATGCTGGATGCCTGTGCGAAGTGCAATGCGATGGAGAAGGCCTCGCTGCTTTTGGAAGACATGCGAGAAACCAACATCGAGCCCGACATCATCACCTACTCCACGATCATCAAGGGCTATTGCCTGAACGGTGATGTGGAGCGTGCCTTGAGTGTTCTCGAGGCGCATGGGCATGAGTGAGATGTGCCAGAAGATAGTCTTAGCAGGGCTTCTTTGCTCTGGATCTGCACATGTGCGGTTCGTGGGTAATCGAGCCGAACTAGTATTGGCACGTGTCCCTTCTAGGTTGCCTAAAGGAATAATATAGTGGAAGGATTGAATCAGTGAAAAGGCAAATTGGAGCACTCTGACACGAAAGAGCATTAGGCATCGTGCGGCGAACAAGCAAGGAGCAATAGACTTGACTCGAGACACTCGAGACAAGAGCTTTCGAAACAGGTAATACGAACGCACATAGAAGTGCCAACGCACCCAAGCGGAGGGAGTCGCACCTGCGCTTAGTTTCTGTCTGGGCCATGTCGTTCGGCGCAGGAGATGAGGAGGGACGGCCACTTCCTGCCGGACGAGATCATGTACAACTCGATCTTGGATGGCTGCACCAAGCAGCGTAATGTCAGCGAGGCATTGCGTCTGTTGGAGGAGATGAAGGCATCTGGCATTAAACCCAGCAACTACACCTTGAGCATCCTTGTGAAGCTGCAGCTTGGATCTGCACGAGACATCTGCGAGTGGCCGTATGTGACCGTATCCTTCAGTTTCAGGGGCTCACAAAGCGCTCTGTTTTTGCCGAGGCTTGGCAACGCTCGGCGCCTTGGTCAAGCAATGCAGATGGTCGAGGCCCGGGGGCTCAGGGGCCTCAGTGCGAGACCGAGCGCGAAGCTGTTGTGACACGTTGCTGATGATCCCCAGGATCTCAGCTCTCAGCACGGGCTGAAGCCCAACATCCAGGTGTACACCTGCCTTATCCATGCCTGCTTCCAAAACAGGCCAGACTCGATCATTGCGTCGATGTTGCCTGTCACCTGGACGCAGAGTGCAGGCGCTTCGAGAGGGCCTTGAGCGTCTATGAGAAGATGATCAAGGCCGGTTCAAAGGATCTGGCCCTGGGCCTTTTGAGCTTGCTAAAGGGGTGGCCCCGTGTTGAGGAGGGCTGCCGGGCCGACGAAAAATTCTATGCAGTGCTCGCTCGCGGATGCCTACAGTTGCACCAGCCAGGGAAGGCCGCGCAGCGGGCCGGGGGAGGAAGGGAGGCCGAACTCGCAGCCTTCTGCCTGTTCTTTTTATCCAGAGCCCTTCACACAAACCCAGAATCCTCCGAAACAGCTTCCCTTGATCTCGAGACTCTGCGTACTCAGTGCCAGGCCCTGGAAGTGATCCGAGCAGCCTACAACCTGCCGGGCAGCTCGCTTCCCAGCGGCCCACGAGCGGTCGGAGTGGAAGGCTGCTGCCATGAAGTGTAATGAGTGTAATGTACCAAAAACACATATAACAAACGAAAATGAGTAAATGAGTACATAAATAGATAAATATAAGTAAATATATAAACCAGTATATATATATATATATATGGAATAAGCTTCCCCCCCCTCAAAGATCCGCGCGTTTTGGCTTTATTCAGAAGCAACCCCCCCAATATGAATCGCAATTTGTTCTTAGTCGGAAGGAACGCCCTCAAATATGATTCGCGCGTTTTGGCCTTATTCAGAAAGAACCCCCTCGAGATCAAATATAACTCAATTAATCCGAAACAACCCTTCCATTCCACAGCATTGCCGGATTACCATTCCACAGCATTGCCGGATTACCCTTGGTACCCACATCACTTACAATATCATGTATACGCAGTATGTGTAAACCCTTATGTATTTCTCTTTGCATATGGTACACGGGTGATGGACATAAAGCGTAAACTTTCCGAGGGAAGAATATACGAATGCAAACGAGCACGACTGCACTTCTGAAACGAAAAAGACAACGACAATGTGGTGTCTTGACAGGGTGATCGGTGATGGAGACAAACGATGGCACAATGATCGTGACGTTAGGGTCTATTTAGCTAGTTTTTTATATAGACAATATCAAACGCTTAGCTAAGTGCTACATAGCCATATCACGCATTCTACAAACCGAAACCCAGAAAGTTTCGCACTGATTCAGACATAGAATTAAATGCACAATCGTCAAATTTCAGGTTCGTCCACGCATCCCGGCACGCTCGCATGCAGGATATTGCTATGCACCTGTTTACATTTGATATCGGTCGTCATTGTGTATGAAAACAATGACGCCAGTGGTTACAACAAATGAACTATCCCTCGGTGTATGAGGAAAGTAACGCACAAGAAGATTCCTGGCATTTGTAGTCTCATGTCAAAGACTGGATATGGCATCCATACATCATCATATGCTGTTCCTCTGTCAATATGATACGCAACAGTTTGCATTCGGTCCATGATAATTTTCTATATGAATGTTGCAACACAGAAGGTTGTGATTGCTAGTTTGTATATGTGTACATCAGATATGGTCCTCAGGTATGAAGTCTTACCTTACCCATAGGCAATGCGACAAGGACAGGGGTTCTCTGGCTAAACAGCCACCAGGCCAATCCGTGAAGCTAATGACACGGTGCACCACAGTTACCACTCCTCCATAGCATATAACTACCGGCCTGACATGTGTATTGTCTTGCATATGTCAGTCCATGGATATGACACAAAAATGTAATATCTTCATGGCATGTTGGAGAAAAAAACAAGTACGCAAATACTCCGGCATCGACATCGACCACGAAGATCTGGGTTCTCGATAAGAACTAAGATAAAAGATCCTTCAGGGGTTTCTATAAGGTTTCTATATAGAGGATCTAAGGAATCTATGGTTTTTCTATACGGGCTCCATATAAGGTCTATTTAAAGGATTTCTACAAGGTCTTTATATAGGGAATCTGTAAGGTTTCTATCAAAAATCTAGAAGGGAATCTGTAAGGTTTCTATAAAGAGGCTACAAGGGTTTAGGATTCTCGGCACGGTCTCTACACAGGGGATAGACAATTTATCAGGGTTGTTGACAAAGGAGGGGGGAGGTGGGGAGGTGAAAAGAGAGAAGGGGAGGGAAGGGGAGAGGGATGGGAAGGGCTGCTGCGGCAACACATCGGGTATCGGATCTCGGATGCAGGCTTTAGCCCCAGTACAAACCGGTACAACCGGTACAAGTTGTACCGGGAGAATTCAAGATTCCAAGATTGCTGCGAACTCTTTCTCGGAATCTTGGATACCGGAGCCCATCCAATTCCAGGATTCCAAAAAAGACCCCGCTGCAATCTTGGAATCTTGGATTCCCCCGGTACAACTTGTACCGGTTGTACCGGTTTGTACCGGGGCAAGGCCTGTACCCACTATCTTTGGGGCGGAGTTCGCCCAACCATGTGTGTGTGTGTGTGTGTGTGTGTGTGTTTGCTAAATGTTGTGTGATTCACGTAGGAAGACACACATACAGACGACATGAAGAACAAACAAACGGGGATGGCACACGAAGAGCTCGAAACAGACAGAAAGCGTGTGTTTTTTTTGGGGGGGGTACCAATATATATACACATATATATATATGTATATACACACATGTGTATAAGAGAACATATAGGTACCTTGGAGAAGATTTGAATGGATGGGTTGTAAATAAGTGGACATGCAGTTCGATAAATCAGTGAACACATAGATGGATACATCAAGTATTTGCGTGCATGCCTGTACAAACAAGCACACACGAATTTGCGGTTTCATGCAATTAGGTGCTTAATGGCATCGCTGCAGTAGCCAAGAAAAGACACGGTCACATTCAAGAATGTGTTTCGAATAAGCAGTTCACACTCATGTACAGATGCTTGTTTTACAGTCGGTTGTACTGCCAGTCACTTCGGGAAGGCTTAGAGGAGCTGCTTCAGAAGATCGGCAAGGAGGAGCAGGAGCTGCAAGTAGTAGTGGGGACAACAGCTGGTGTGGAATGCGCACAAGATGCACAACTGCTGCTTTTGCCCTTCGTGATGGTCAGATGCAGGAAGCTGCTGATGAGCTGACCCAAGAGTTGAAGACTAATGGCGTGCAGACTGCTGGAGCGAAGTCTTGGAGCAGCGGTGCCCCCTCACAGTGTTAGCCTGGCGGCTACACCGCTGCAAGGCGCAAGAGGCTCAGAAACCTTCGTTGTGAGGTGCACGTGTGGCGGGCGGCCCCAGCCGAGAGCGCCGCCGCGGCGGACGGTGAAGAGAGACCGAGGCCAGGCAACCCGTCTTCGTCACGAATGCTGCGTTTGCATTGCAGTCTCGGTCTTGTTCATGTCATACTTTGCCCCGAGGTGGATCCGAAGCAAGCTCCTCCTCGATTCCTTTCGTGAGTTTTCATATATCTCCATATCGCTTTGTTGCTCTTGACCCACACTGGCCGTGTGGATGCAACAAATGAATTCTGCCCGCTTTCTTGGGCTTCACAGTACAGTACAGTCCCTGTCGAAAGATGTGCCGCACCAAATGTGCTTATGCCTGACTGGGACAAAGGAGGCCCGTGTTGCCTCGTGTGTGGGGAGGATTTCCTGCTTTGGCCTGCCACGAGGGATTCCAGCAGAACTCTCCAGCTGTGGATGGCATTACCTGGCCATGGTAGTTCAAGAGTAACGGCGAATGGGCCCAGGTGGAAACTGGACCCTGATCTATACCGATGCTCCCGTGGCTTGGACAGACTCAATTCGATGATGCTTGCCATTTCAATTGCGATTCGGCTCTTGCAGGGCAAAGCTAACAGGCCTCAGATAGCCTCAGGACATCATCGGCATCCCAACTTCGCCCTTCAGCACCCTGGGGACACCCGGCTGATTGGTACGAGTGGAGGTGGTAGCCTGGAAATCCGGTAGTGTATCGCAGGAGGATTGGACAGGAGATCGATGCCAGTAGTGGCCACGTCCTCGGTTGGCGACAGGCATCTTGCATCTTGCGAGCCCGAAAGCGAGGCACCATTGCCAATGTCATTGAGTATCGGCCGTCTGCCTTTGCGGTAGGAATCAAGGATTCCGTTCTGGAGCCGAGGACTCAGAACTGAGAGGCTTTGGAGCTCTAAATGATCGGCTGTGAGCTAAGGGACGCCTTCGTGCAGCGGGTCTTCACTGACTACAAAGTAGCCTCGCCCACCACGGTGAGGGCCCGAGCACAGCGATGCAGACTTCGGACGTCGGTTGCAGCAGCAGTAGACAAAGTCCCTCTACGGGATTCTCGGGCAAGACAGGACCCCAAGGACGCTTCTGGCCCATTCGCATTCGCACCCGAAGGTACTGTTGAGAACATCGCGTAACCAGAAGACGTTGACTCGACTGACTCTGTCCGTCATTGTCTGTCCTAGTGAGGTGCATCAACTGGAGTCTTGTTTATTTACCAAGTCCACTGGGAAGGGACCGATGGAGTGAAACCTGCATCAAAGAGGATGGTTCCAGTGCATCAAGGTCCAATCAGCACGATGGATTGTCAACACTAGCGCAGCAAGGACGATAATGAAGCTTCATCTGAGACTGCTGGGTAATGCTCAAAGTCAAAGTTTCCACAGGTTCCTGACAGACAGAGACAACTTCGCGCGTGTAAGCAACGTGCATCTACTGCTGCTCCTTCGTTCCATGTTGAAGTGCGGCGTCTTTCCTTTTCATTGCGCTGGACGGGAGCGCAGGATCGGAACATCCAGGGTCAAAGCCATGAAGGAACAGTGGAAGCAAAGGCTGAGGCCACTGTACAAGACAAGCAAGACAAGCCTTGGCTATAAGACAACGTCAGCCAGAAGTCGGAAAGCCTCCCAGCTTGGGCCTGCAGCTGCTCGTCAGGGTGGTGTAGACACTTCAACTCTTGTACCAACCTGCAAAGAGGTAGGTCTCTGCTGGCTTTCGTGCTTGCAGGTGGAGCTCAACATCCGAGGTCTAGGTCTTGCGCCTCAGAGGCCAGGCGTGTTCCGGCATTTAGGGATTTGGAAACCCGCCTTTGTGCAGGATCTTCGGTGTTGACGTTCCGGAGGCGAGGCTGCATGTTTAGTTTTGGCGAGGAGGGAGAGACCGAGGGGCAGAGAGAGAGAGAGAGAGAGCTTCGGGCTTTCCGATGTAGTGGTGGATTTCCTAATGTTCGTGTATGTCGTCGGATTCCCGTAGGTGACAGCCAGCGTCCACAGAGAAGTTGTGCTCATCCATGCCCACCCTTGTCGCAATTGAAGTCTTTATGGCTTTCCAGGTTGACTGCAGCCACATCCCCCTGAAAAGCACGAATCAGGCGGCCCTCAAACCCGGGAACTTGACGAGTCGCCTAGCAGGTGCCCGGTAAGAGATAGTTGCGGGATGAGAGAGAGGGGGACTACCCCTACGCCATAGCCCTGGCGAAAGAAAAGAGCCCAGCTCAGAAGGAAGCTTGTAATACCACAACAGGCGTGGCACCAGGCAGGCATGCTTCGCATAGACAAACGAGAGGGGACCGGAGCAAACGAGCTGGACTAGGCGGGGTTGTTCCGCTCCGGGGCATCGAACTTTCCGACTATGTATCTCAAGACTTTCCTTTTTGCAATTCGGTACGGACATGTCAGTCACATTCCTTTTCCCGAGGGACGGCCAATTCAATGGTGCAGGTCCTGTTGCTGACCCTCCAGATTTACTCATGACGGGGGAACTTGCACGATCCCCTACAATGCTTTTCCCCGACCTACAGGTGTCTTTTCAAGCGTTTGTTTAATCCAAACATTTTTTCATGCATGTTGTCTGTTGCTGCTATATAACGGGGGAAGACAAGGGCTCGAGTCAAATTCGCATGAAGCCTGGGAGACGAAGAAGACAGAGAGTGTCAAGTTTAGGAGGGCTCAATCAACTTTCACATTGCTCCAAAGCCACATAGCAAATGGGCGGCCCAGGTGGCCGCGGGGTTTGACCAACACCCTTTGCCCTGCCGAAGAGGAGAGTGTGCCTCGCGGGGAACAGTCAACCATAGTATAGGGCTCCTTCAAAGCCCCGTAACACATGGGGGGCCCATGCGGCCAGGGGGCCTGACAAGCCCCTGAAGCCCTGACGAAGAAGAGAGAGAGAGAGAGAGAGAGTGTGTGTTTCAAATCTACCGTAGCACGCGGGGAAGAACGGCGGTCCCTTGTGATGTGCTGGTGTGGCTCGTGCGTTGGTTCCAATATTTCGTAGACGAGTGCACTAGGATCGGTAAGCGGGTGTGTGGCGCAAACAGAGCGCACCAAGAGCCCTGCAATGATACATATATATATATATATATATATCGATATCGAAACTTAGATCATTAGTACTGGTACTGCCATTCTTTAAAGGTTCCTGGTTGTCTCTATAGTCGAACACAGTAAGAGTCATGATACTACAATATACCCACCCGCCCCCCGAAGCCCTGCAATGGGCTTTCCTCCTTCTTCGGCGGCCTTCGGCTGCCATGCACGATGCGGATGCGACGAAGAGGTGCCCCCCCTCCCCCCCTTGGCATCAGCTTGAAATCCTATCCGTCTTATCTTTTTGAGGCTCGAAGAGGCGATCTGCTCCGACGCGGAAAAGCGAATCGCAGAAGGGCGCCGGACGCTGGACTCCGAGGCCCGGGCATGAGCGGCCTAGGCTTGGCAGTGCCCGTCTCGTTCCCTCTTTTCAGGGCTTCTTGGTGCTGGAGAAGCTCCTCGATCCGGCGCCCTGGCTGTGCCGTAGACGCTTGCGAGCCTCGGCCTGGACCTATTCCATCCTTCAGGACACCATCGAGCGGCTGCGTGAGATGGCCACTTGGCTCAATGCGTCAAGGGGGCCCCAGACCTTCCTGAGTACCTGAAAGCTTTCTACTCTGTGACTCTATGCGCGCAGACACCTTGCCTCTCGACGGAGGTGGAGGGCGATTTGGACAGCTTGTGGCCTGACGGCCTTGTCGATTGCACACCCGCGAAGCCCGACGATCTGCCAGCGATGCGCATCGTCGACCTGCGACTCGGCTGCAGCGGAGATAGAGAGCCAGCTAGGCGTGATCTGGTTACTTCTGGCCGAGCCAGTTGTAGGAACTGTCGTCATGTGAACTGGATTTGGGGGAGCTGTCTCTCGTCGAAGGAGGGCGATGAACTTTGGCTACGGCCCCTCGTCATTTTTGTGAGCCCTATCACTCGCCCGGCTTCCCATCCTCACGTTGAGGAAAGTTTGCCTACCTGCGGGAGCCACTGCCATCGCCGCTAAATGCCCTACGTGAGGCCTTGTACACGGCACTTGCCCCAGTGGCGACTGCACAGATCCCTGTCTGCGAAGAGTGTTGCAGATGTGGAGCAGCTGGCTTTGAATGGAACGTGAGAGTGGCAACAAGGATTGAAATGTTCAGAGCAGAGACTTCTACGAAGCCGCTTGCTTTGGAGGCCTATCCCCCAAAGCTCCTTGGACAATGCACCCGCATGCAGTGTGCAGCCTGTCGGATCAATGAGTCCTTGTGCCTGCGAACAGATTGTGCACGCAAATCGTGGCAGCAGCATCCTCGTTCTGCACTGCAGTGGCCACGTTGCTCAGGATCTCTGATCTCTGGGAAATTTGCAGGGCAGCAACTCCCCCACAGGGGTTGCCCACCTCGATCGCGCTCAGGCGGTGCAGCAGCAGAAGGAGAGCTGTGTAGATGTAGAGAAACTGCACGTGCTGAGGTACTGCCCGGGCGGCTTCATGGAGCCACACCGCGACCTTCAGGGCACGGTAATGTTCCCGTTCCAGGTCATGTGTCCACTGAGCGATCCAGGCCGGAGCTGCTTACAGTTCTCCGTTCCGATGCCAATGCAGTCTTCTGAGCTGCTCGTAGGCGAGGACTACGAGGGTGGACGGTTTTTCGTTCAACCCGGAAAGAGGAATGTGGATCGCCGGCACTGCCAGGAGCCGCTTTGGGGTGCTTTCGAGTCTCCTCTCGCCTGTGAGACCTGACAGGAGCTTTTCAAGGGCGATGTTGTCGTTTTCCGCAGCGGCTTGTACCACGGTGTGGAGGAGTTGACTTCCGGGACGCGATATGCGATTCCTGGCTGCACGCATGCCCAGAGATGGCTCAATAGCTCTTATGTGCTCGAGTATCGCGTCGGCATGGGAGGATCGCCATGCAGTTTGCACTCTCTCATTTGACCGAGAGCCCGTCGAAGCCCAGGCTGACACTTGGCACAGTGGGCGGGTATTCGTATGAGGTCGCAATTGGTGTGCACAAAGTGCCTAAGGACATGGGAAGAGAAGCAGGAGCGACAAAGGAGGG